CTAGCAATTGTGTTGTAGTATTACGTGCAACACAACGTAGAAGAAAATATCGAGGCAAAATAAAGCAAGATAAACGTAGACATGAAATATTACGGCCGTGTCACACCGGATCCGATCAAAAGACGATAATCAGGTTATCGTTACGAGTGCCACGGCAATTGAAGTAGCATCATGCGTGGCATCCTGGGAGCTACACTCGACGTATAAACATTTTCTTCGGCGAAATCGAGTCTCGCGATGCATAAAGTTGCAACACTGGTTCGTTAAGGCCCTTTGAGGAATATCGAGTTTCAATATATGGTGGTATTGCTCTTCCCCGTCGTTCGTATATCCGCGCGCTGTTCGCAGATCGAGTCGCAAAAGATGATACTCTGACGCGCGCAAGTAAGCATTCGAGGTGCATTATTGCAAAAATTTATTGCCCGAGGTGTCGCCGGATCCTGTTTGAAGCAGTCGCCCCCGGTTAAAGAGAGACGGCACTCGCTCGCGTCTGCGTTCGAAAAATGTCTCCGAGACGGTAGAATGACAAATTTTTTCGCGTCTTCCACGCTGAAATGGTTCTCCGCTTTGCACCCAACGCGTCGGTGCGGCCTTTTATCTCTGCGTATACTTCGGTTCTAAAAAGACGAAACACTGATGAAATAGTCCTGAATTTTGTTCCCTCGAATAAGAACTTTCTGGGACTCGTGCACTCTACCCAGCGGGAAAATTGCCGTTTTATGCACTGTTTTATTTAGACCGCGGATCTTTATGCATTTATGGCGTCTGTAAATTCGTAAAATAGAAGGAAGCGTAATTTAAATTCTCTGCAACGAATATACTAATTAGTTGTTTAAAAAATGATCTACTTACAGTGGGAAATTGAATACAGCTCAAATATATTTATTTGACTATATTTATCTTTTACGTTAATTTCTCTGTCCCATCAGTTTGAATCGATTACTATAATTGTTCATTAATAGTAATAACAATTAACGGTAGTAATATGTAACACGCATTATTATTGCGGCACGAGTTTTGCATGGATTATTTGCTCACTTTCAGCGCGCAAACACTGACTCCATCACCGACAAGATGTCCGTCGCATTCCGGACGGTCCTCCACATGTCCGTCATGTTCTCCCTCGCCGTATGCGAATTCCCAAATACCTGTACACGGTCGAATAATTATTCCGTGGTCTATTCCATCCTGGAGAAGTGGGCAAACACCACGAAAACGGCTCTACTAACAGTCGTGTTCGACGATTACGATGACGAGGACACGTCCGACGACCCTCGAGGCATTTTGAACTACGTCAAGGTGCCCAGTCGGCTGATCACGCTGGATCACATGATGTCCCTGAGCTGGCAGCACCAAGAGGAGGATTATCGAGTGGTCGAGCCTGGAGGATGCGTTCTGCTACAATTCTCGCAGCTTAACCGCCTGAAGAACATCTTGGATTCGCCTCATTTATCTTCGTTTTGGCATCCTGATAGTTTCTATGTCTTGCAAAGCCTCGGGACAATAAATTTCTGCAAGCTCGAACGATTCTGCAAGTGGTTGTTCCAGAGGCTTTGGAGAACCCGCAGGATCTACAAGATAATCTTCCTCGCCAGTGATTCATCGAGAACGATTCGATTCGATCCTTTTGGAAGAGTACCTCAGGAAGGGTACTTCCTGAAGATCGATTACACGAATCTCACCGACGTTTCAGACCTTTTCGAGGAGAGACGCAGCTTTGAGAAGCATCCTCTGCGCATCTCCATCTTCGAATCCACCACAATGACTAAGCAGGGAGACCAGTATGGCGGCTTGGACTATAGGCAAGCTTCGACTGCTTTAACCTTCGCATTCCCACGTTCTGATTTACAAGGTGTCCCGAAATTATTGTACGAGCGAGAAATGAGGGGTTCCTGAGGTCATTTCAAGTAACTCTTTCCTTGGAAAAAATGCAATCCGCGGCTTCGTTTACGAGTTATTGACGAAAAACAGTGACCAATGAGAGGCGAGATTAACTGGCGCGAGGTGGCTGAGTCAACGAGCGGCCGAACCAAGCTCTGTTCATTGGCTCGGCTACCTCGCGCCAGCTAATCTCGCCTCTAATTGGTCACTGTTTTTCATCAATAACTCGTAAACGAAGCCGCGGGTTGTATTTTCACTAAGGAAAAAGTTACTTGAAATGACCTCAGGAACCCCTCACTTCTCGCTCGTACAATAATTTCGGGACACCCTGTAGACGGACCCATGACTTTACGTATAAAAACATTTTGAACTAAAATTTTCTTGTTACTATTATCTTGTCGTACTATTTTTACTTAGTAATTACATTTGCTACATTTGTTTCTGCATCTGTGTCGTTGCTCTGACGTAAACAAATGGCAGACGACATCCAGTGTCTCTAGCTCTGGATTCGAAAAATGACCCGGACGTGGTCCGGCGAGGCTTGACCTTGATACGGTCTTCGTACGATTCCCGTACCGACCGTCTAACAATTCCGCAGGTATTTGGAAGGGATCACAAAAAAGATGAACGTGACACCGATATTAGTTCAGGAAAAGGACAAGCACGGCTGGAAAGAAAACAACGTATTCTTCGGCACCCTCGGCCAGCTGGTCTACGGCCACTGCGACGTGTCTTTCAACCAGTTCTTCGTGAAGGACTACATGACCAAGCAGATCGAATTCACCGCCGCCATCAACAGCGACAGGCTGTGCGTCGTAGTGCCGAAGGCTCTTCCAATTCCCGAGTACCTGGAGATCCTGAAGACCTTCAGCGGCGGCTGTTGGCTGTTGATCTTGACGAGCTACTTCGTTATAGCTATCATCTACACGTCTATAAAGGACGCGTCGATCGCAAATAGGGCCGCCGATTCGCGCCAGAGCTGCGAAAAAGTACGCGGATCGCGCGAATATTGTAGCGATCCACGCTACCTCGCAGATCAAAGCGGAACTGCGAATGAAATCGCAGGGAAACGCCACGGTAGACCGTACGATGGGTGAGTAGCCGTTCAAATGCACGGATTGATCTTTTAACCGCGAGCCCCCTGCGGACTGTTTGTGCTCAGCCCGTTGAAATTATTTCTGGTATTTCGTTTGCTCGTCGGTTTATGGTTCCTGGGCAGGATCTCCGGAAGCGATCCGCATTCCCTTGCTGCTTTGATCATTCGACGGGTGGTAACTCTAATCCGTTTGCATCTGCGCGATCTTTGCACATCATTTTCAATGCATGCCACCTTGTCGCATCCGAAGAGCTGATAACTGTGAATTATCCGTTGCTTATTTAGTTGTATAAACTGCGACACTTTATAAGTAAGGCGCGTCTTCCCGGACCTATCTGCTTGAATAACGGCGGACAGCGTCGTGGGAACGAAGAAAAATATTATTTTCCAAACAATATAAGCACTGAACTTATTTAAATGTATATGAAATTATTCGCTGAAATATTTAATATTAATGATTTTATTTACGTCAGAAACTAAGCGAAGCTTCAAGGATACCTAATTGGAAATTCTCACGCGGACGCTATTTACTAAGAAAACAAAATGGCGACTAGGCCATTTTGTTGCCCAAAATTTAAAGACACGTATAAGTAAAGAGTAAAAAACAGTTTAACGAAACAGTTACTATAAGTGATTTTATGAACGCTGAATACTAATTGTAAGTAACATCTGAAAGGAACCTAATCGAAATTCTCACAGGAAATCAAAATGGCGATTAGGCCGTCTTGTTTCTCGAAATTTAAAAGCACGAATAAATAAAGAGTAACAAGCAGTTTAACGAACTAATTGATCTAATTGATACTACGAACTCTGAAGACCAAGAACAAGTAACGCTTGGAATGATTCTAATTGAAATTCTCACGTAACTACTGCGTAGAAAATAAAACGGCAATTCCGCCACCGGCAGTTCCGCGAAGTGTTCGCGCCTCGAGTATAATTTTGTTAACAGATTTTCTGCGGCATCGCATCCGAGCCGACTCGAGGGGGCAATTTTCCCGAGGCTAATGATTCTCGTGAAATACTTCACGGAGATCATGCTGCACCAGACGCAGCCTTTCGAAAACACGAAGCCCTGGTTTCCAGAACGATTATTCGTGATGTGCAGTTTGTGGCTCAGCCTTATTCTCAATGGAGTGTTCGCGTCGCAGCTGGCGGCCAGCTTCAGCAGGCTGCACTATTACGATGACATCGACACTTTGGAGCAACTCGAACAGAGCGGTAACTACCCGCTTCCGCTTGCGTCTATTGCTCGAAGACGCGCGCAAAAAGACGACAATTCCCGTGCACGTGAGGCAAATCGTTGCAAATCACTTCGATATTTCTCCAGCAGATTTTCACACTTTCCTAACGGCTGATTCATGGATGAAAAAAACTGTGTCAAACTAAGCGCTTGCATTTTTTAAAAATGAACCGTAAAGGGGAAACTTGGGGCTATATTTCCAATTTTTCTCAACCTTTTCAATTTTTACAAAATTGTTCAACGCATACATGTATTTCCTTGTTTATTTTACAATTGTATTTAACAAATACGATATTTTTACAGCAGGGAAAGATTGAATATATATCGCATTTTTGGAAAATATACATGTATATATAATATATAATAATAATATATTAATAATATATTAATAATATATAATATATAATAATATATATAATACACACACATATATATATATATGGCGAAATAGCTCATAGCCAATGAGCGGAACTCGGCTTCGTGCGTTCGTTGGCTGGGCCGCCTCGCGCCAGCTGAGCTCGCCTCTTATTGGTCAGCGTTTTTTGTTAATAACTCGTAAACAAAGCCGCCGATTGCATTTTCGCTAAGGAAAAAGTTACTTCAAATGACCTCAGCTACCCCCATTTTTGGTTGTTAAAGTAATTGTGGAACACCCTGTAGAATCGAATCTAATTTGTCATATGATAAATGGTCAATATTCTTGTATTTTGGAGAAGCGAAAATTAAATTTTCTTTTAACTGACCTTTTAAATGACCCCAAGCATAGCTCGTCTACTGGTACACGAGATAAATATTCTAAGATACGACTGACGTCGTTTCGTTTTACAAGACAGAATTCTAAATCTCTGAGAATTTCGAAGTGCAGTCGATATGTTTCTAAGACTGGCCCTTTTTCTTTCCAGGACTGGAAATTCTGACGAGTTCGAGGGACATCATAGACGATGCTCTGACAGACGCTACCTCTCCAATACTGAAACGTCTCCATGATAGAATGATGTACGCGAACGAGACGGAGATCAAACGAAGATTATTCCAAAGCAGAGACGCTGCGCATCTGTACCAATTGACGTTGCTGCCGTTTAAGTACGATAAACATCAAAGACGAAAGCTGCATATCGTCAAAGAATGTCCCAAAGATTACATCCTGGCTAACATCGTACGGGAAGGTAAGTCCCCTCCTTTCGCGACGTTCCGATTTTATCAAATATTGGAAGCAACTTCCGAGAAAGAGTTTATCGATCGTGCACCTTTTAAGATTACCATTGCTGAAAAATTACTACAGATTCAACTATGCATGTAGCTTTAGATGACATATTCGTTTTAGAAAGAAGTCTGTTAATTTTATCAGAAAAAATTCCTAAAGATCAGGCTTGTATTTAAACATGATCTATCAACCCTTAACCGGATTACAGTTGCCGCGGCAGTCCCGCGCATCTTTGAACGAGTCATACACTAATGTACGTTAATGTAATTGTTTGAGAAGTCATGCAATCCCCTATTAACTCATTAATTTTGAATGAAAATGAAAGATCTAATCGAAGTGTCTCTAAAAAAAAAACACTCAAAAATATTATGTAACAACTGTTTGCAAAGAAGTTGATCTTTTCATATCATTTTACATTACGTAATCGTGGATTTCATATTTATCCCTTCAAATTCCCGCAGAGTAGATACGAAACAGTGTTCTAGGATCAGTGGGGTCGCAGCGGTTCTGAAAAAGCGTTTACAGTAAATTCTCCCCAATCGACTCAGCTTGGAACCAAAAATGGATAATTTGGGAAGAGGAGATGCGATTATTCGAGGCTTGCGGCTCGTTTTTATAGTCGCCGATTGTCAACGCAACTATCAAAACGACACACAAGGCTCGATTAATCGTGCCTACTTTTCCCAAATTGTCCGTTTTTGTTTCCAAGCTGTGCGACAATTGAGCCAAACGACAATTAATCCAAACCAATTGAGCCAACAAAGTGGCATAAGTCACTTTGTTTTTAAGTCGATATATTTAAGGGTTTGCGTTTTAACACGTTTCAAAATACGGATGCTAACTTTCGAGAAGATTTACTTGTATTTGTTATCTCAGGATACTATTTTATTCTCAGTATAAATAATTTCGTATAAACATTAAAAAATCACCACTTTCCACTACGGTAAAGTGACTTATGCCACTTTCAAAATAAACGGTTCAATTAGAGAAAATTTTACCGTATCTAACTGGAATTGGCAGTCCGGTTAAGGGTTAACACGTTCCGTGCCGAGCTTTTTTTACTCGAATCTTCACACTTTGATATTTTACTAAAACTTGATGTATTACGTGCAATTATTAATTCTCGTACACATAACAACGTAACAAAAACTTATCAACGCCCATTCTTGCGGTGGAAATTGATTCTTCGGTTCTAAATTTCTTGTAAACAATTTGTTCAGTTCNGAAGTTGATCTTTTCATATCATTTTACATTACGTAATCGTGGATTTCATATTTATCCCTTCAAATTCCCGCAGAGTAGATACGAAACAGTGTTCTAGGATCAGTGGGGTCGCAGCGGTTCTGAAAAAGCGTTTACAGTAAATTCTCCCCAATCGACTCAGCTTGGAACCAAAAATGGATAATTTGGGAAGAGGAGATGCGATTATTCGAGGCTTGCGGCTCGTTTTTATAGTCGCCGATTGTCAACGCAACTATCAAAACGACACACAAGGCTCGATTAATCGTGCCTACTTTTCCCAAATTGTCCGTTTTTGTTTCCAAGCTGTGCGACAATTGAGCCAAACGACAATTAATCCAAACCAATTGAGCCAACAAAGTGGCATAAGTCACTTTGTTTTTAAGTCGATATATTTAAGGGTTTGCGTTTTAACACGTTTCAAAATACGGATGCTAACTTTCGAGAAGATTTACTTGTATTTGTTATCTCAGGATACTATTTTATTCTCAGTATAAATAATTTCGTATAAACATTAAAAAATCACCACTTTCCACTACGGTAAAGTGACTTATGCCACTTTCAAAATAAACGGTTCAATTAGAGAAAATTTTACCGTATCTAACTGGAATTGGCAGTCCGGTTAAGGGTTAACACGTTCCGTGCCGAGCTTTTTTTACTCGAATCTTCACACTTTGATATTTTACTAAAACTTGATGTATTACGTGCAATTATTAATTCTCGTACACATAACAACGTAACAAAAACTTATCAACGCCCATTCTTGCGGTGGAAATTGATTCTTCGGTTCTAAATTTCTTGTAAACAATTTGTTCAGTTCACTAAGTAAACATGCAAGCGTGTACCATCGATGGTACACGTGGCACGGAACGTGTTAATAAATCTACAGATGGACCCGTACAGATATTATCTCTAGCAAAAACTGAGTGACTGAAACACAAACCTGTGAAGACAGTGCTATACCTTGTGCAACTTTCCAACTTACTACTAGTCAAACATCCAGGCTACGTGGTGTCAGGAAGCGAGTAGATGTCACCATTGCCTATCAGTCGTTTGCCATCGACGACAGTTGACCCCGCTACAGGATCGCAAACACTGTTCCAGGATCGCCGTTCCGCGACCGCATAAACAGCATACTTTCCAGGCTAAACAACGCCGGCTTCTATGGGAAATGGTACCGGGACCATATCGTATCTCGGTTGGCAAGCCAGCAGAATCGCAAGGATGAATCGATCGTGCACAGGAAGATCACGGTCCGGCACCTGCTCATCCCGTTCGCGATTTTTCACTTCGGTTTGGCAGTCAGCACGATCGTCTTTATCTACGAGCGCAGAGATACTAACCGTGTCGCGGCATCGACGAAGCGGAAGCAGATCAGAGATTAGGGGGAGGGATCGTAAACTGGCGACGACGTGGATGTCGACGATGTACGGTGGTTAGTACCTTTTCAAGAAAAGGTTGGCCACGATACAAAATCTCGGACGATTTTTTTTTTTAAATCGGTACCGTTGTGTTTTTTCGTGGTTGTGTTATCAAAATCGTATGTTATCGGAAATGAAAGATTCAAAACGGAAGATCAGACACTGCTCGTATAAGCATTCTTCTGAATTTATTTTTCGCGAACGTTCTCGATCAGTTTGGATGTTTGACTTTAATTGTATAATTGCAATTTAAAGTTTAAAATGTGATGATCTTAATTTCCAATCAGTTTTGTAATTAATTATGGAAAAAACGTTTACTTTTTTGCTGAATTTTGTTGTCCGAAATAGTAATAAAGGATATTAACGATTATAAATATTGTTTATAATTGATAATAATTCTTTAGCACTATTTTAGACAACAACATTCTGGAAAATAAACGTTTCTCCATAATTAATTACAAAACTGGTTTGAAATCAAAATCATCGTATGAAATGAAAAAAGCATCGATATAACCAAAAATTGTCTGCAGGAGCCAAATATTTTCTTTCCATCTATTGTACAATTAAACTGGTCGTTTACAATCGTTTACAGTTAAACTATCGTTCTTTCTGTATATCTGCGTCAATTTAGAGAGTTACAAATATTGCAATTACTTTGACTTTAAATACAGTTCTATCCATAAAATGGCATTTTCAGCAACTGAATAAGCAAATGCGAGTAGAAAACTATTCTATACTTGATACTATAGCAATATTATACGTACATATACTACAAGTGCATATTTCAAAACTTACATTTTGGCCAACATTTTAAGAAAAGCTGCGACGTCTACACGTTGGCCTCGAACGTTCCGGCAGACGAACAAAAGCCAAATGGAATAAGGGACCCACTTTTCGATGGAGAAAGACGTGCTTTTATATTCTGAACGAGAAATGGCTCACCATAAATTTCGAATTTCCAACGATTTTTGCCAGCAACGCCGTCCGACTTGTTTTTCTCGCGCCTCGTCTCGCCGTTATGGCCGTTGCAATAAAAGGTTTAGGGCGTACCGGCGATTCTTTGATCGGTATCGGTTACTGCGATCGTAACTTTCGATTTGATCCGATGACCTGAAATTTAGTGGTCTAAGAATGTTTGAAGTTCTATGATTGTGTGTGATTAATGTACACAAATTGCACTAAATGTTTACAGTGGGTCGCAAAGATGTTCGTTCACCTTTTAAAACACAATATCTTTTTGAGAACTAAACTAAATGACTTGCATTTTTTTTAGATGATAGAGGGACTAGTCTATTGGACGATGAATGAAATGGTTTTTTTTTAAATCTTGCTGTTACTTGGATTCGTAAAAATATAAAAATCTCTCGTTTTTTAACATTTTTATCTGAGCCTATAACGAAAATGTAAAAAATGCCTCTCGTAGATCTCGGTAACTTATATGCATGTTGAAAATTTTATCTAAATCGGTTTACATTGTTACGAGTTACAACAAATTAAAGATCGCAAAAACCGCAGTTTTATCACGATTTTGACCCAAAACTGTAAGAAAACAGCTGTATCTCGGCTCTGGTTTAACCGATTTTGATCAAATTTTCGGCACGCATATAAGTTACCGAGATCTGTAGAAGGCATTTTTCAAATTATCGTTATAGGCTCGGATAAAAAAAGTTAAAAAAACGAGGGTTTTCAATTCTTTCTTTTCATTCCAAGTAATGGCAAAATTAAAAAAAAAAGCTTTTTAGCCATCGTCTAATAGAGTAGCCCCTCCGTCATCTAAAAAAAAATGCAAATCATTTAGTTCAGTTCTGAAAAAGTTACTACGTTCTAAAAGGTGAGCGAATACTTTTGTGACCCACTACTATATATCATATCTGTTTAATAAATGTCGAATGTACGCTGATGTGAAAAATTTTAGAATCGTTCTTCGGACGAAGAAATTGATGTAACTTCTTGAGAAAAAAAAAATCGTAGAACAATCTACCTAGGTTTATTTTATGACGTGGAAATAAATCACATAGGCGTAGGACTAACACAGGGAAATTCACAGCAACCGAAATTTTGGCATTTCCGGGAAAAATTACTGTGCTCCCAAGTCAATTAGATTATGCATCATCATCGTCATCGTGCACGAAAGACAACAGACTAGACGCAACATTGATTTTCACCCTTTGTATCGCGTTCCTCAGAAAGTATACTGATCTGTCGATAACAGTGAGTTGAAACTAAAGCGACCCTGTCGAAGTCGGAATAAGCCTGGCACTGATTCGTGGCGGAAATTATTTAAGCGACCGCGTCGGTTCGGAAAAGAAGATCCCGGTTGATTAGAAGGCGGGCGCGCGATTTATTCGAGCGGATTCCATGCGTCAGCTTCCCGGAGAACAATAGGCGGGGCTGATAGAGGAGCACTTCCGCAACAGCCAGCAGCTACAACTTAATCGTGCTTACAAAAAGCCCCGGCTACGGAGAAATGAGGTACGTGCCGCGAATCCCGTATCTGCTGAGGCGGGCCTACACCCCTTCGGCTGCACGACGAACTCGCATAATTAATTCATTTAACGGCGTCTCTTAATCAACAATCTCATTCGACTGCGCTGCCAGCTGTTATCGGATGGCTAAACAACCGTAAACTCCGCGAATTTCTCGACGACGAACATTTCGAATTCCCCGAACTTCACATTGTTGCCCCGACTTCGTTTAATCTCGTGATCCTATTATCCCAACAATAGAAACTTCTAATCATCGTCGAGGAATTTTAACCCTTACAATGCCGAACAACGATGTATCGTTGTCGGCTGCGCTTAAGGAAATATTGTATTCTTAATGTTTTTAATAAATAACAGTTTCAGTTCTTAATCCATGTGCCTTTTTCAATTTTCTAGGTATCTGGTTTTACGATATTTTTATTATTCCTTTTTGGAACTCTTCGCCGAACTACGGAGGCCCACAAAAGTGTTCGTACACCTTTTGAAACGCAATAACTTTCTTAAAACTGGACTAAGTGACTCGAATTTATTTTATTTTAATGGTAAAAGGAGTACTCTACTAGACGATGACGAAAATGCTTTCTCAAAATTTTGCTGATACTTCGAATGACAAAGAAATTAAAAGACAACAAATTACTAGCTTACTTACTTAACAACAAATTACTAGCTTACTTACCTAATCCTTTGCAATACCTCGATAGTGAATACTTCTAGTAGTAACTTACATTTGAAGTTCGAACAAAATTCTGTTCTTTTGTCAAACGATAAATATCAATAACTTTTTTCTTCTAAGAAACAGTTACAATCTGTAAGGTCATAACGATCGTTAGACAATGGATCAGCATAAGTTAATGATTAAACTTCAGATCTTCACATATTTTCAGAACACAAGACTAACAATTGTTTTATATTCCTAATTTTACGTACGACAAATCTCACGCGAGATTAACATATTGGGTTGGCAACTAAGTAATTGCCGATTTCAGTTGTAGATGTCTCTCGCTCCCATTTTTATGATATCCGTAAATATTATATTATAAAATTATTATTATTATTATTATGTTATTTTTTATTATCCGTGAATGTTAGCAACTGGACAAATTGAATGCAGCGGTCAAGGAAGAGCGACCAGAATTGGTCAATCGTAAAGGTGTCATTTTCCAGCAGGACAATGCTAGGCCGCACACGTCTTTGTCCACTCGGCAAAAATTGATGGACATTGGTTGGGAATCGATGTTACACCCACCATATAGTCCTGATCTCGCGCCATCGGATTACCACTTATTTCGATCCCTGGACAACTCCCTTCGTGGTAAAACTTTTAACGATAATGACGCTGTAAAATCTCACTTAACTCAGTTTTTGGCCGAAAAGGATCAGACTTTCTACGAGCGTGGAATTTTCAAGTTGTCGGAGAGACGGCAAAAGGTCATCGAACAAAATGGAAAATACATTACAGATTAAATCTTCGTTCCAAGTAAAAAGAAATTTTTTATTTCGTTGAACAAATCGTCAATTACTTAGTTGCCAACCCAATAGAATTTTTCGGCAGAGCCCATTGGTCGCTGATGGTTGGCGCCGCATTGACGCAAATTATATATGCTCGTTGGGTACGGTTAATGACGTATCGTGCATGAAATTCATGATATCGCGAAGAGCGGAGTTTGCATAACACGCGCAATAAGTTACAAGTGTTCCGCATAATGAAACAGGTAATTAATGGTTTCGCGAGCCGTGGTGAGAACTGCGTTCGCGATGGGAGTCCTCGTTCCGGCAGCACGTGCCGGATAAACGTACCCGACGATTCCCACGAATCGATAATTCGGCAAGATATTTTTCCACGTCGCCGAGTCGCGTTAATAATAAACAAGATCGTCCATCTCTCTACGAAAAAAAAAAAAGACGGAAGACGCGAGAACACGTTTCAACGACCTGTTGTGTCGTGAAAAGAGCGACGAGTAGGCGTCGATGGAAACGATAAGCAGCTGTTGCGTTCTCAAAGCGTCGAATCCGACTGGGAGTGACACGGAGAGGCTAATTAAGAAGGGAACGGTGAGGGATCGTCGCTGTTTGGGCTTTGAGATGGAGGATGGCTGACCTTTTTGACGATTCATTCCGTTTGCGTGGAAGCAATCGATGTTATGAATTAGAGACTGCTTCCCACACTCTTCTGACTTCAACGATGGCAGAGGGGAATGGAGGAAACGAAGAGGAATGCAATGTAAAAGTAAGTAATAGTACTGAATTTTTGTTTAAAGACATAGAAAAATAGGTAACAATGAATTGTTCGCTGCTATATTTAATTGTTATATTTATTGTGACAATGTGATCTATGTTTTAACTTGAATGAAACGCAACTGAAATTATGAAGTGGCCGATACGTGTAGTAAAAACGCCGCGGTAGCCGTTTGAAATTTGTTTTCACAGTAAAGAAACTTTTATCATATAGAATTAATCTTTCCGTCAATTGAATAAGATAAATATTTTCCACTGAATGTTTGTTAATATCTATGAACCAAATGGATAGAGTAAAATGGATTTATGACGAGACGTCGCGTGATGGCAATACTTTCAGGGCCGTTCATTTTCTATAATAAATGTAGCTGCAGCTAACAGTACGAGTACAACAAGTTGGTAATTCCTTAATGGACAAGGTAACTCGGAAGTTTCTTCGAACCCAACCACCTCGACATAATTATCTGAAAGTTTTATGTACCTGTGAAATAAAGCTGCGATGTAGCATCTTAGGGGACCACGATTCGGATATCCGAGAAATATGTTTATGCTTTCCTGAAACTGGAGCAAAGTTTTCGTTCGCTACCTCGGAATTCCCCATACTTAAACGGGAGCAAGAATGCGAAATAGCGTAACGTCGAAATATTAAAGTGTGCGTGTAACAATCTATCCGCCATCTTGATTCAGCTGTTTGTATTCCAACAGCAAGATTCTCCAACCTTTTATAGCCACAATAAAATATATCTCACTTTATGACGTGCAGAATATCCTGTCTCGGTAAATCGTACGAAACCACACTGAATAACCAAACAGCTTTTGTTGATTAAAAAAATGGAGCTTTGGAGTGATTATTCTACAACAGATGTGAACGACGCACGCAATCTGTAAGATCGTTACATCTGTAAATTTTTTTGCAATCTTTGATGAAACGTGAAGTTGATCTTCGTTTACCAATTCGACAAAAATAACAATTTACTCTTTGCGGACACTTTTTCAAAATCGGATCAGACAAATTGAAATGTTTTAAATGTGTGAAAGGCTAATCCACTAGACAACATGTAGAAAATTGCGTGAAAACATCAGTTGGTTGGAATAGCAATACAAAATAGAAGAATTACTTTTTATGTTAATAATATTAGTGATATTAGTGATATTAGTGATATTAGTGATATTAGTGATATTAG